AGGAATAAATTATAAGCAATTGCTTTTCCGTCATGCCCAAATGACAATGCTCCCACAGTTCACTGATATGTTCTATGGATTGCTAAGATACTTAAATCTAAATTCATATATGGTCATATTGGAAGCGTGATCTGGTCAGTGAAAGATTTATATCTTGTACAGTAGGATCTACAGAACTATCATGTCCCAGATACAAACAGACATCCATTCTGGGCACCCATTCTCTCTGTTCTTAGTAATTTTTTTTTAGTTCATTCAGCAGCTTTGTTTCAGGCACTGTGCCATACATTAGAAACACATCATGGTGAGTAAGCATGATTTCTGTCCCTGAGAAGTTCATTTCAGTGGTAAACGTATCAAATATGATGCTTTTCATAACATGAAGTGTTACTAGTACTTACCAATGCCATGAGGGTTGTAAGAATTTATAATGGATGTAAAGTCTTGGAGGAATAATTTATTTTAGGCCTCACATTCTTTGCTTTAAAATCTACCATTTCTTATATTTTTAATTAAGTCTTAGATTTCTTTAGCTCTGGCTTTTCAATTCTAGCACATGGAACCTTACCTGTAATCTTGAAGTTACTATGGTGGACCTCCTAATTACAGATAAGAGAAGGGCAGGCTAAATGCAGGTGGGTGGGGAATGAAAGTCAAACAGAAAAGCCACCTGAAGTGTATTCTATGTAAGGTCTGATGCCCAAAACATTAACTTCCTGTCCTATCGCTGGTAACCACGTGAGTGTCCTTGTAAAGTTGTCTGTGAAAACCCCCATTTTAGCCTTCTGGAATTCAAATATTTTATATGTCTGTTATACCCACTCTCCATTTATAAAGCCCTTCTGGCTCATTAGTCATCCTGGGTAACTGCATTTAAGTTTGCACTTCTGATTCCAGAAGATATATAAACTGACATTTTTCTTTATCATAAAAAATGAGTATTGACCTTTTTTGCCTCTTTTCTCTTTGTTCATAAAAATCAGACTCTCTTAGGAAACTCATCTTCAAACAGTATAATGAAAAACTCAATATTAGCAATCTCCTAAAACGTGTTCATTCTTTATTATTTATTTTATTAAAAAGATTGAAATTATAGTGTAAAATGACCTTAGCATAAGAATTCCTGAGTCTCCAGCTAAGGGACTGAATTTTGAGAGTTCAACAGGAATAAGTGAAGGGTAGCGTATCTTTCTAAAAATTAACATCTGGAATAAAAAAAAAAAAAGAAAACTACATAAGAGGAGCAGGGAAACAAGGGCTCACAACTCTTATAACTGATCAAAGCTATCAGCAGGGTTGTTCGATCCATATTTATATGAGGTGTCACAAGATATTTGAGGACAGGTAAATTAATATCATGCAGTTCATCCGTATTATTTTTCTCCTTTGACTTATCATCAAGTGGCCTGGAAATTCTCTAGGAGATTGTTAAAATATCTTCTTTCCTCCTCCAAGTACTATTTCATATCTCCAGGTCCAGTAACTCAAGAAATCGTCTTCCCAGTTGTTACTGTTTTTATTCAATACATCCAAATATCTTTTCAAGAATGCCTTTGTTAGAGGTATCTGTGTGTGGCTAAGTGCTTGAGTGTGTGTGTGTGTGTGTGTTATGACCATATTTACTTAAGCAGGCATCAGCCCTAAGATTTTTTTAGAACATTATCATCTGTAAGATACCTAAGAGAGATGGTCAGAATGGAGTTAAAGAATGTGAATGGAATTTAAAAGAGGGCAAAACAGAGGAAAAAAATGCCACTGGAAATCACTTATGTAGATGAATATGCTAACACCATGAGGATGGGTCAAAATGCAAAGAAGGAATAAAAAAGTAGAAAGTAGAGGTAGTGATACTTGCAGAGTAGGCTGCGAATATATCACAGAAATTACTGGACTAGATTATATGACAGGGGCAGTGTCACAGAATGAATGGTAAAAAGATCAAAGAGAATGCATAGACCATTTCCCAGTACCTAGTGCCTGGAACGTAGTATGAAATCAACAAATGCTATGTGAATGAAAGAACAAAAGACAGAGAGTGAGCCCTGAGGGAAGGAAGCTGAAGGAGCAGCTTTACAGTACAGGTGCCCGCAAATGGGAAGCTGTGACAGCGCATTTTAGGAAGAATCCTGGTGAAATCCAGGATAGGTGGAAACCAGCACCTTGTTTATTCCCTCCAGAACCACAGGAGACTCAAGAACTAACATGAAATTTTAAGGTGAGACAGAAAGATGCTTATCACAGAAACTGGACTCTGACATCAGATTCGTTAGAAACTAAAGAGCTACTCCCTCAGGTGTATTTCCCTAAATCAATGCCAAATGAAACTACTTGAGTTGTTTGATAAAACACAGTGGGTGTGTGAAAACCACTGATGAGATATGGGTTAAAACATTGTGATGCAATTTTGCAATTAAGTACTCTTTATTTTCCTTGGGACTGGTGCTGTTTTTCATTTTTGTTTTTATTTTTAAGGAGTTGAGGTACAGCTGACAGCTCTAAGTGTGAATGGAGGGAAGAAGTGTCCCTTAGAATCTGTGAGGATATCCTTGCTTGTATCTTTCTCAAACCAGTGGGTTTAGTTTCAGCAGTCGACTGGAAGTGAAATATCGTTGCCCAAGAGTCACAGAACACATTGCGAAAACATTGCATAATGTCTAACTTCCTCAAGCAAAACCTGGCAAATCTGAAATGTTCTATATTTTATGAAGAGATAAAAGAACACACAATTTTGATGATTATGTGATTTTGGACTATTTACATACATGTCTATTCACCACCACTAAAAAAGCAGATACTCAATGTTGAAAATAGTGTTACCACTATTTTCCGTGAAGATCCCACATGCTGCGGAGCAACTAAACCCGAATGCCACAACTACTGAGCCTGTGCTCTAGAGCCCGCGAACCACAACTACTGAACCTGCAAGCCATAACTACTGAAGTCCACGCGCCTAGAGACTGTGCTCTGCAACAAGAGAAGCCACTACAATGAGGAGCCCACGCACCGCAGCAAAGAGTAGCCCCCGCTCGCCACAGCTAGAGAAAGGCCGTGCACAGCAACAAAGACTCAACACGGCCAAAAATAAATAAATAAAATAAATTAAAAACGAAAAACAAAAAACAGTCATGGTCTTTGTGTTATGGGATTTGTGCCTGTTAGATTACACCACAGCCTTTAGGCAGGACTGTTTGGAGCTATGAATACCCATTAACCTGGACTAGCTGTTATTTCTTCTAGAACATCTCAAAACAACTTTCATTGTTAAGATAAACTTCAATGTTGGAGTTTATGTTTCCAGTGAAACTCCAATGAGTTTATGTTCCCATCTGATTAGAAAGCAAATCCTCCCCAATCATTAGCACAGAAAACTAGATGAGTTCAAACTGTCTTTAATGTCAAATGGAATTCAGTCATAAACGTCTCAATTCCCATATTACTGTTCTCTCCCAAGCTACCACTATATTTACAATGTCCCTGAAGCTCTTCACTCTGCTTATGCTCACACACACAGCAAATAAGGCTGGAGCCAGGATTAATCCTCATTTACATGACCCAAACCTCAACTATACCATTATACCATACTGTATTATTTCAGCGTAGCCAAAAAAGAGGCAAAATTACCATAACACTTAAATATAATCCTTGAGGAGAAAAAATATGTATTTGGAAATCATTGGTCTATACTGGGGAGTGAGCCATTCAAAGTTTCTTAGTAAACTTGGGATGCAACAATGAATATGATAAAGCAATGTCCTACACCATCACAATATTTTGCAAAGCTATGATCATTAATAATGTGGATATTATCAGGTAAGTTGTTGCTGAGTTGCTGGTCCCGCCTGAGATGGAACGTACGTCTTTAGTGTACCATCTGCCAAACAGTGACACTGTTAGGATAGGCTCAGATGATCCATTCTTGTTTACCAAACGCCCATCTTTTAGTACCTAAAGAAAAAGTGGGAAAAGTATAGTCAACTTGATTAGAATATACATTACAAGCAGACTCATGATTTTGAAACCATCCTAGATATCATGGCAGGTAAGGGGGCTAGGGCTGGGGTTGGGGGTTGGGGAACAGGTGAGAAAGATAGGAAACAGCTATTTTATATGTAAGGAAGCCTAGAGCCATTCTAGAGGGTTCAATAATTGAGTTTAAACAATCAGATGTAACCCTTAATGAAAAGTCAGAAATCATCAGTAGCAAAAACCAGGAACCAGAGGAACGCAAATAACACCCTTCCCTCAAGAAGCTTAAAAGTTAATGGTGAAACTGAGAAGATCCCACATATAAAGAGAGAAATCAGTATATTAGTATATTGCAGAGAGAAACGGGAATGTGCTTAGGAGGTCTGAGAAGGAATAGCTGAACTGCTGTGCTTCCCAAGGTGGGATACAGTCTGCTACAAGGAGCAGTTAGGAATTTCTCCCTGGGGCTGTATGATGGAAGACTTTGTGCCAAGTGGAAATCAAGCAGCAAAGGCTCATTCTGAGACAGGAATGTATGTGACAGATCTAGGCAATGTGCTTTCTCACTCCAATTTGGTTAGAACAAGTTGTGTGCTGGAGCCAGTGGTGTGTAAGCTCACAACAACAGACTGTTAAATCTCCAGGAACTTTGACAGCTGGTTGTTAAACATGGCTGTTCTTGAAATTGATGGTGGTGAGAATATTTACATCATGATAACTGGCAAATGCCACAAATCTGAGCTTGTCTTTTTCTTCCTCAGAGAGTGGCTTGTTACAATTTACAGCACATCACTAGCTGGAGTTGAAGATTATTGAAGAGGAGACTAAGCCATATGGTCAAAGAGAACTGTAGGGATCGGATTTGTGAAAGCCATGAATGATCAGATCTATATCCTGAAGGCAAGAGGCTTCTCTGTAAGGGAGTAATGTATGCAAAGTAATAGAACAAGCATAGAAAAAAAACACAAATAGACAACAGATAGAACAAGAATTAAAGAAAATGAGTTCATCATCAGTTGTGAGAAGGACAGTTTGGATGGGGAAGAGCTTAGAAGGTGAGAAATTAGATACTTTATAACTAGAAGTAGAAAATAACTAAATATCCTCGAAGATGATTATTGTGGTGACACATACACACAAATACATAGCTCACTGACAAGTTGTCAAACACACAACCTGCTGGTAATTAAATGAACAAATATAAAATGTTAAATGTTCATTGTTTATTGTGTTCATTGTTTCTAAATAGTCCCTTGTTTATTAAATTGTTCCTTAACAAAAATGAAATAACAGAGGTATATTTCAAATTACATTTGGGTGAAAGTTTGAAACAAGTTAAACACAAATATTTAGTTTTCTTGTGACTTTTCATCAATATAGTAAAATTGTGTCTATTTTGACCTCCTTGGAATTGATTGTTCCACATCGGTGATTGTCCCTTGGGTTCTAGTTAGAACTTAGCTTTTTACTGTTTTCTTGTTACAAATTTTCCTAAAATATACTATATAATTAGCTGGCCTTCTAAGTTACACACTCAAGATAATTTGACCTTTTTGACTATTCCTTTAAACTGGTAGTTTTTACCCACCAAAATCACCTGTAGGACTATGAAAAATATAGGTCTCATCCTCAGAAATTCTGATTTACTGTATCTACAGTGGAACCTGGCCTCCTACTCCTCCACTCTGTCTGCACATTGATGTATACTTACATGATGTTCAGTACATGTGGCCTAATTCGGGCAAGCTTTTCCTCCAGTTGTTGATGAACTTGGTTAACTAGGTAAACCTTTTGAGGTAAGTACCTAAAAATACATCCTGATGCTTGTATAATGCTTCACTGTTCACAAAGTGCTTTCACATGCATTACCAAATCAATGAGAAAGATATTGTCCCCATTTTACAGGCAGGAAATTGAGAGGTTAACTGACTTGCACAAACTTACATAACTAGTTAGTTGCAGAGGCCACACTTCTGATAGTATACCAGAGTTAACCTACAATGTTAAAGCAAGATGTTTCCCACTGTTGTGGTGATGGTCAGTAACACTTCATGCTCTTAGCGTAGAACTAAGGATGGAGAAAAGATAAGCAATGAATATGTTGGAATCTCTGCAGAAGTGATCCTCAAAGATAATGTGTAAATATGTGTTGATGGAGAGTCCATTAGTCAAGGAAACTGGGGAAATACTCAGGAAGACACGGTCAGTGTGACTCATGTAAAAATCTTGTCATCTATGGCAGGGGTCCCCAACCCCCGGGCCACGGACTGGTACCGGTACCAGTCCGTGGCCTGTTAGGAACCGGGCGACACAGCAGGAGGTGAGTGGAGGGCAAGTGAGCGAAGCTTCATCGGTATTTACAGCCGCTCCCCATCACTCGTGTAACCGCCTGAGCTCCGCCTCCTGTGAGCATCTAGTGCCGCCGCTGACCTATTTTTTAAAATCATACTCGGAAAATTAGATTGTGTGCTAAATTTAAATGGCAGGGCTTACAAGATATAGTGCACCCATACCTAAGCTTACCTGGGTGAACCGTACTTTCCCATCTCTGACTTCCTTGAATTGGCCCCTGAAACTTTCAGTTCATTTACACATATTTGTGCCACTCTAGCCAACTTTCAACTACTGGATTTGAGTTCCAGACCCCTTATTTCAGATCTGATCAAGATGTTCTGTAGTTGGCATTTAAGCTTTTATTCCAGCCTCAATTTGCTCATGAGATTCTGCCTAACTGGGTTTTATGGCAGCCAAGGATTCCCATTCTCTGGGTTTCCCAGCCTTAAGGCTGCACTGTATGTTGAACTGTTGGTATCACAGAATTAAATATTTTTATAAATATGACCAATTCCAATCTGATAAAACAGGCAGACACAGATATATGACCATAAGCAATCTGCAATTTTAAAGATTTCCTTGCTTGATGTTTTGGATTAATTAACTTTCATCCTATTTTTTCTTTTATAAAAAAAAAATGCAGTGATTTCACTTTAGGTTCTGAAACTCTGCCACTGTCTGTCACAGTTCAGTGAAGACATTAAGGGCCAAACTTGGAGAGTATGTGTATGTACATGTGTATATGTGCCATGTACTGACTAGAAGATACAAACCTACAGACTCTTAATTTTAATTTGAGACTAGCTTAATTTGTGGATTAATTGGCTATGGTCACTATGGTTTATGAAATAAATATTTGATTTTCTGTTTGTCTCCACATGTGACAAAAAGAAACTAAAAATCTGTAAGTAAATATTCTGCAATGAATGTTGCCTCAGGCTCATAGGGTCTAGGTATCTTATGGTGTTATGCCAACAAAGTGTCATCACTTTAGAATTAGTTGCTGTATGTTGCAAAAATGGTCACAAAAATTTCCCCTCCTTTATCCATACCCTTTGCAGTATGATTTTATAGCTCTTCCCATTGAGAGTTCTGCAGCATTTATTTCTCCACCCTTTGAATCTACCTTGGTCATGTGACTTGCTTTGGTAGATGAGATATTTGCAAACATGTTGCAAGTAGAGACTTGAAAAGAACTTGCCTTTTTTGTCTTTCCCTATTTATGCTCTGGGACTCCTTAATCTAACATGTGAACAAGACAAGGCTTTCTGGAAGATGAGGGACCACAGAGGGAGAGTGGCCCCAATCATCCCACCTCTCCAAGACTATGCCATCACAAACCAGCCAGCCCCAAATGACCCACCTCCTAGCGGCAGATGCATGAATGAGCCCAGCCAAGATCAACTGAGCCTCTTCTAGTCCAGAAGAACAGCCTAGCTACACCCAGTTCACATCACTAACCACAAAATCAGGGCTAAAGAAATGGTTATTGTGTAAAGCCATGAAATTTTGAGGAGTCTGTTACACAGCAAAAGTTAACAGATACAGTTGTCATAGCCTGTTTTATTTGACTTCAGAAAACAGATAAAATGAAGACACTCTTAAAGTTATCCTACCTCAAATTTTCCAGGTGCCAGATTGATTTTAGTAAGTAGCACTTCAGGGAAAACATACTCCGTTGTAAATGTGCCACTTAGGGAGAACATTTCAAATCTTGTCAGAGCAGTGTCTACTGGCTGTCCACAGGTTGTCAGATTAGTAGATTTACATTTCACCATTGTGCATACCTGTGTAGAACAGACGCAGATAAAATGCAATGTCTTGCATCTAAGTTACTTGTACTAGAACTGTTGACTCAGTTTATAAATGTAGCAAAGTAAGTATTTTCACCATTTGATAAAGGGATTTGGATCATATAATTACCTGCTTTATTGAAAATGGCAAATGATTAAGAACCAACCCCCCACTTCCTGGGTAACTAGCGGGATTGAAAGAAAGAAGCCAGTTTAAAACTAGATTTGTAATAGGAAAGAACAAATCCACTCCATATTGAATCTGTTTCTTTTTATTTAAACCTTTGTAGTCTACTGCTTTTGCTACAAGTTAATCACTAAAGGCATGCTGCCTGTAAGCTTTAAATTATACACAATGAACCATCTCTGAGAATCCTGCCTTTAATGTAATGAGCTAAAATACCTTTGTTTAGCTCACAGGAAACTTCCAGACCAGGCATACCTATGAATGGCTGCAGGAAGGAAAAAATAAACACATCCCCTCCAGAGTCTGAATGGAACTAGGATTTTACCCCCTCCCCATTTAGTGTAAAAGAAGCCTGAATTCTACCTCAGGGAAGATGGTTCTTTGGGACACTAGTCCACCATCTTCTCAGTCTGCTGGCTTTCCAAATAAAGTCACTATTCCTTGTCTCAACAACTCATCTCTCAATGTATTGGTCTGTCATACAGCAAGCAGTACAAGCTTGGACTTGGTAACAGATATAAACCATTAGTCTGGCATGTCAGATGATGGCATTTGGCCCAAGAAAGTAGAGATATTTGGTAAACAGGAGTACAAAAGCCAAAAGGATGATTAAAATTTTGACCATCTCTTTTTTTTTTTTTTCCATATCTTTTTCCTTAGGAGAAGGCAGTAAGGCACAGAGTAAAATAAGAAAAAACAAATGCATAGCCAACATTATACAAAAAGTTTAAAAAATTTGTCACTGGAAGGGCATGAAATGATCAGGACATTTGGTTACAAGAGAAGTTAAAATAAAAGTGATATCCCTACTTATTGTTGGTTTTAAAAGTTAAAACAAGACTTTATATTCAGATGTGTCAGCAAAGCTACTTAAAGAAGCCTTCTTGAAGTTCATTTCAATATGTAAACTAGTTTCATTAGTCAAATAGAAAATCAGCATTGTCAGGCTAATGTATTCTTTTAATGTGCTCAAAGCAAGCAATCAATGATACTTAGCCCCCCTGCAAGCAAATATCACATGATTAATCCCAAAGTGTGTGTGTGTGTGTGTGTGTGTGTGTGTGTGTGTGTGAGACATTGGCGATGCATGCAGTCATGCCAAGGAAAAGCATTTGGTTCCCTGGGACAAATATGAAAACTTAACCCTGGAATTTACTGACATCCAAACATTCCCTTTCTCTCGAGCTGAGATTACCTGCCAATATTCCCTTCTCCTTCTGCCATGAAGTCCAGCAAAAGCTCCTAGAACATACACTTCATTCTCCTCTTTTCCTAACATTCTGTAGCTTAAATGACAGCACAGCTCTTTTTGACAGACTGTAAGGTTTCCTGCATTTTCAAAGAGTTCTGTGAAGTTGAACTCATCCCGGGAAATAAAGCCCCTAAAGGAATTTTTCTGTCTTGGGAATGGTTTGACGGTGGTGGCATAGGCCTCCCAATTCACAGCTGGTGGGTAGGTCGGAGAGTTTCGGGGATACGAATCCACCTCTGCAAAGAGGATCTTTCCCAGCTCTGTTTCCATATCATAATGGTATGCTTTGGGAGAGTGTGGTGCATAGATACCACTGCCTGTGAATGGAAGACAAGTCTCTTAAAAACAAAAAGCAAACCCAGCACCACCAGTTTCCCCATCAGAATTGAGCATGTGGTCACGTCACAAGATCAGTCACAATGAGAAAGCACAAGGCACTGAACACCTAAGTATAATACTTCTCCTATTCTCTACTGGAAGAGATTAAACTACATGATCAGTGGTCTCATTTCAAATGAACTTTGGATATAATTTACTAGCATTATAGAAAATTAAGCCGAATATTAAAATCGTTGTACTCAGGCGTTCCTGAGAGGTAGGGAAGTTAATATAAAATTCCCTCCTGTTCTCCATTGTGGTGGGTTTCAAATATGTTCCAAAATTCTTCAACACTCCTTTCTCCAATGGGTGGATCTAATTCCCTTCCCTTTGAGTGTGGGCTTGACTTAGTGACATACTCCTAATCAATAGAACATGGTAGAAATAATGGTTTGTGACTAGTCATTAATGGCAATGCAGCTTTCCTCTCTCTCTCTCTCTCTCTCTGTCTCTCTCTCCCTCTCTCTCTCCCTCTTTCTCCCATTACTTGTTCTGGAGGAAGCCAGCTGCTATGTCATAAGGATACATCACACAGCCCTATGGAGAGGCCCATGTGCAAGAAATGAAGGTCTCCTCTCAACACCCACTGAGAAAGAGAGGAACCCTACCAATAGCCATATGAGTGAGCCATCCTGGAAGCAGACCTGCCAGCCCCAATCAAGCCTTCAGATGACTTTTAGCCCAGCCAACATTTTAATGTAACCTGAAGAGATGGCCTGAGCCAGGACCACCCAGCTAAGCTACTCCCAAATTCCTGACCAACACAAATCGTAAGATAATAAATGTTTATTGTTTTTAAGCCACTTTCACTTTTTACTTTTAAAGCAACTTGTTATACAGCAACATGTCAATAATACACTACTCTGCCTTGCCAGTTATAGAGCATATCTTGTTTACTTCCCTGCTTTGCCCCCGACTATCTCGTGGCCTTGGCAAGTTACTTGCATTTTTGTGTGTCTCAGTTTTCTAATCTGCAAAATTGGAATGATAGTACTCAGCGCATACATAGAGTTGTTGTGAGGATAGATGAGATAATACATATAAAAGTCTTAACACAGTCATAGCTGTTATAATCAAGCAGTAGCTTTTCTTTTCTTCTTCCTTTTTTTTTTTTTTAATGAAAGGATACAAACATAGTGAGAAGTCCCAACAAAGAACCAAAAAATTACAACAGGTCATATCTGAGGCACAAATTTCTCTGCATTTAGAAATATAATCAGCAAACCACATCTGGTCATGAATTACCTGTCATTTTTAGGTTGACATTATCTGTGTTGGCCACAAGAAGATTAACTCTCATTCCCATTGCCCAAGCTGAATGAAATTCAATAGCTGTCAAAAAGGGCAAAACATTCATCCAAGCTGTGGGAAACAATACAGTGTCCACGTGGAAATCTTTCACCAGGGACACAGCAGGATCATGGAAGAGGATATCAAAGCATGTGAAAATGCCAAACTTTCCAAAGGAGGTGTTGAAAGTTACCAACTCCGGCGTTTTGGGGACATCAAACTGATGCTCAGAGTAGAGGTTGTACTATAACAAACACACAGGATAAAACCAGGAAAGGCTTTTTTATTGAAAAGGTGACACATGAAAACTCTCCAAGTTAGTAATTTTGAGATTTGGCAATGCTCAATAGCAGGCAATCTATAGAAGGTGAATGACTCTGGTGAGTGGAAGTTCATTTCCAAAGAAAAATACGAAGAAATATAGTCTCTCTCACTCCCTCTCTCCCTCTCTCTCTCTATCTTTCCCTCTCTTTCTCTCTCTCTCCTTATCTTCCTCCATCTCTCAATCAGGAGCCAAATACCTCCCCATAAATCCTAAACACTATGTGCTTCTTGAAAGCTGAAGACATACATCATTTTTCTTTGAGTTCCTGATACCTAGAAACATAATAGATGCACAATAAATATCTATTAATCAGATGAGGGAGGCCCTCTCCCTCTTTACAGTGTCCCATCCAAAGTAATTTCAGGGACTCTTACCCAGCTTTCAAAATTGTTGTTAAAAATAAATATTTTATTTCATTCTCTCTGATTCCTTCCAAGTAAACTTGAGAAATGAACCTAGTCTAACCTAATAATCAGGGTCAACAGCTTAATAAAATGATTTGCAAAGTAGGAAAGACTGAGGGGTGGGAGACAGACTATTAAAACTTCTCTCTAAATTTATTTTCTACCTAAAAAATATTTTTAATTGAAATTTACTAGCATTTTAAGACTTGATTGACAAAAGTACTCTTATCAGATCCATATATCAGACAGCATGGGTCACGAACTGTTCCAAGTTACCCTGATGGAAGAGTGAGAGCTTCTCACTTTAGGATGACCCAGGTCCTCATTAGCTGTCCACATCCAGTGTACTGTGCCATCCTGCCGTTTACTGGGCCTGGATAAATGGATTGACCAACTATGCTACCAGTTTAACTAGGTCAACACTTACAGAATGGAAGAGTAGCTGCAAAGAAAGAGCCTTTAAAAATGATACTCACAATGCAAACACAGTCTCAGAAACAAGGAAAATGGAAGTACTGACATTTCTATTTCCAGTCAGACACATTTTTGAGAACACAGAAGTTTAATTACATATAAAAACAAGTTGTGAAACCCACAAGTTTACGAAGAAAACTTTTTGAAAGTTTTGTGTTTTATTTATAAATACACAAATAAACACACAAGTAAATATAAATATATTTTATCTTGAGGATTCACATTAAAATTTTTTTCCATATAGAGGTACATGATCAAAAACATTTGAAAGTCATTGGCTCAATATCACTCCTCTTGAGTAATATTTATTTTTCCCTAGGAGTTCCAGGAGATAATTTCTCCAGTCGGAAGATTCTGAAACCACAATTAAGATGCTTAGAAAACATATGGGAGAGGAAAAGGGACATTCACACTGACCTGCACATCCCATAACCATTTAAAAGGTCAGCCTCTCTCCCGGTCCAATTTAGTATAAAATTATGACTTCAGGTTATTTTACTCTTTCAATTCAGATTTTAAAGTAAAAATTTTATGATTTGACCTTAAATCAATAAGAGGATAATTAAATTAACTGGTATAGAAACTAAAAGAGAAAGATCATTTTTATGACTTGATAGAAAGCAGGGAAATTAACTTCCGTGCAACTGATTCATACAATGTGAAAACATCTTTTATCATTTCAAAATTAAATGGTATTCAGACTACAGTCATCTCGGTATCTTTTATATCAATATTAAAATTACTTGTTTTATATATGCAAAAACTTTATCTCAATCCTGGACTATTACCAAACCTTTCTTACAGGTCTCTGCCTACAGTTTTTTCCATGTTTCTAAAGTGTCATTTTCTTTATTGCTCGCTTTAAAAAAAATCTTGGTAACATTGTGTTATAAGAGAATGAAGCTCTAACTCTTAAACACAGCATCCACCCCCTCATAGCAGGCTCCATATTACACACCCACCCCCTCTTACCTTATGGTAACGTGCCACCAGCTTTCCCTTTGCATCATACACCACGTTGGTGTTGTATTGATAATGGCCATTAGGAGGACACGCGGAGTCACAGGAATTACATGGCTTTTTGTCCCCAATATTTGCCAAGACATAGATAGAGTTGTTTTTGGCCAGGCAGCTGAGTCTTGTTTGTACTGGTGTATGACCAAATCTAGATCCAATTTTAATTAAGACATTCCAGTAAGTCAGACAGAGAAAAAACAAATACTGTATGATATAACTTATATGTGGAATTTTAAAAAGTCAAACTTGTAGAAACAGAAGATAGAATGGTGGTTACTAGGGGCTGGATTGTGGGGAACTGGGGAGATGCAGTTTAAGGGTACAAACTTGCAACTAATAGATAAATAAGTCCTGGAGACTGAATGCATAACATAGCGCTTATAGTCAACAATCCTGCATGATAAACTTCAAAGTTGCTGTGAAACTGGATCTTAATTGTTCTCATACAAAAAAGAAATGATAATTATGTGACATGATAGAGATTATATGTAGAAGTCACAAATTGTGCCTAACCTTGATGAATTTTTTTCCACACTGTATCTATTGCTCCAGCAATTTATTATTCACTCTCCTGCACCAACAGTTGTCATTTCTCTACTAGATCATTCCATCAGCATGCAAATATGCTCTAGTACCTCTCATCTTTAATCAAAATAAAATAAAAACCTCTCTTCACCCCCATGCCCCTCTACTTTATGCTGCATTCCTTAGGTTCATCTTACAACAAAACTCCCTGGAAGAGCTGGACATTTTGCTATCCTCAGCCCATTTTCTCCCATTCTCTTTAGAAGTGCTCAGATCAGCTTTCATCGCTATCATCCCACCCGACAACTCTCACTAATACTGATGATGACATCCACATGATGTCATCTTCATGTGACATCTTGTGATCTTGTGCTACTTACCTGCAGCAGTTGACACAGTTACTTACACCCTCCTCCCGGAAACACTTCACCTTGCTTATTGGACCCCACGCTCTCATTCTTCTACTCACTGGGTGCTTTTCTCCATCTCCTTTTCTGGTTCCTCCTCGTCTGCCCTGAGTCTAAGCACTGTAGTTTCTTATAGCTCAAGCATTAGATCTCTTCTCTAACTCACTCCACAGGTGAACTCATCACGGTGTTAAAATTTTTTTTCTCCCTCTTAGCAGTAAGTTTCTTTTCTTTTTATAAAGGAAGTTTATTCTTTTATTATTTCCAAAAATAATCCAGCTCCTAAAGTCTTGAAGTTTAAGATGTATTTGGGAATTTGTTCCTTGGTAGTTGGGGAATAGCTAAATGAGCTTTATTTCTGGTGTGAGGGCAGAGGTAGGGGTCTCAGTGTGTTAGTGGTGGTAATCCAAAATGCAGACGTATTACCTGGGTAGTGCAGGAATGGAACACCACTGGAACTCCCCTGGAAATCGTAGTGCTGTGAGCCATTAGACCAAGGCCAGCTCTGAGTGCCCTGAACTTTGGAAGCCCATACTCTGAAGATACCAAGATAACTGACAAATAAATAGCAGACTACAACAGAAGGGACATTGTTCTTACCTTTGTGACTTTCTTTTTAGCTGTAACCCTGTAGCCTTATGTTATGCAAAGCGGTCTATAATTCTTATCTTTGGAGAGGAAAGGAGTATGCACAGAAATGTTTGCAGGGCTTATAGAAACTTTGACTACTGTGTCTTTACAATGAATTGAATAACTTTATATGATGAAACTAACTTTCGTACTATAGAAATACTTTTTAAAAGTTTATGGTTAAGGGCATGAAAATGTGCTTGACAGTGAGTGCCTAGAATTGTGCCACTAAAGAAGGGAAATCCTATCTAAGAAGGTACATTTCTGGGGCTTCCCTGGTGGCGCAGTGGTTGAGATTCCACCTGCCAATGCAGGGGACACGGGTTCGAGCCCTGGTCTGGGAAGATCCCACATGCCGCGGAGCAACTAGGCCCGTGAGCCACAACTACTGAGCCGGCGCGTCTGGAGCCTGTGCTCCGCAACAAGAAAGGCCGCGATAGTGAGAGGCCCGCGCACCGCGATGAAGAGTGGCCCCCACTTGCCACAACTAGAGAAAGCCCTCGCACAGAAATGAAGACCCAACACAGCAAAAATAAATAAATTAATTAATAAACTCCTACCCCAACATCTTCTTAAAAAAAAAAAAAAAGAAGAAGGTACATTTCTGTACCAGAGCTGTGTCGTAACCATCCTTTGGTCCCTCTGCTGGAAAAGCAGAATCAAGTCTCAAATAATGTCTTTTTAATTATATCCTATAGTATTACAGATGTAGGACAGTACTGTATCATACCTCTGTGAATGTAAAATATCTTGTACCTGCTTTATGATACATAGTAGTGACCATGCTTTATCAGATCTATTTATAATGATGTTATTCTAGAATGTTTTCTTTCCAGGTGATAATTGAGAAGCTAATAAAGAAAATAGTGCCAGGTACCTCAACAGTAACAGAACTTTGCTGTTTTCTGAGGTTTTGTTTTTTACCTTTTTTTTCTTTAATGGAGTGTGCTATATGTCTCTATAATTTTGTTCAGATGACTGCAGAACCTGGAAAAGCTGTTGATGCTACTGATGCATA